AGTACTGTAGCCACCTCCAGAACATAAAGATATTCACATTTTCAAACATAGTGAAATATTTTCTAATCTGAACATCCTTTTAAAAAAAGAGGTAAAATCAATAAGTGGCATGAAAAAACTTCAAAGAGGGACCTCCTGTCAATGACAGAGGTTCTTCAGCTATGTAAAGTCTTTGAAGAAAGGCTCCCAGTGCTGGGAAGGCTTTGAAGTGGCAGAAAGCAGGCATTTATAATTACAGAAAGGTGTGGTGTCCAGCAGAGATAGTAAAAAGATATAACTAGGGTATGTATAGGGGGAAGGTTGAGAGGTGGCATGGGCACCCCCTGACCCCTGCTCACCAGTAGCCTTAAAAAAAAACACCTACAAGGTCAACTCTGTATCCAAATGAAAGAGGCAATTTGCAAAACGGATGAGCTGGGTAAGGACTAAGGGAACCACATTATATTTCCAACACATGTTCACGAAGCAAGTTGTTTTCCTTCTCTCTAACACTCTAAAGCCTTTTACACACACACACACAGAGAGAGAGAGAGAGAGAGAGAGAGAGAGAGAGAGAGCCACCTCCCCGTGTCTTAACCTAGTAGCTCTGAGTGGAAGTCCGTTCGTCTTTAATTTTCCAGTCACATCAGTTTCAGTTGCAAATTATTCACTTACCTCAACACTGCCTCATACAGAGTCAGAACAGTGGTCCATTTAACTCAGTATTGTTAACACTGACCTGCAAGCTCTCCGGGATTTCAGACAGGGCTCTCTCCCATCCCTACTTCGGGATGAAACCCAAGATCCTAAGTTTGCAAAAGAAACACTCTAGCACCGAGCTTTGGCTCTTCCCCTGACAGAGAGTGTGTTCCGACTCTTGTGGGGGCAGGGAAAAATGTGACTTAGGTACCAGTGGTTTTGAGAATCTGCTTTCAGGGAAAACTTTCCATATCAATGTTGTCTGCTGAGGAACCTTTGCCTATCTTCTCTGCACACTGCTGCAGATTCTGAGCAGGGGAGTGCAAAAAAAATGGGAACACTTTTCAAACACGTTCTTAGACAGTATCGTTGTGTCTAACACCAAACTCAACTGGTTGAGTGCTTATCAGTTAGGAAGCAGAATGGAATGATCCAGTAGTAAGAGTGGCTTCTTGGTGAATACCTTATAAAACTTAAGTGTATTAATTAAAAGAAAACGAGATTTCATCATCACCACCCAAAAAATTGGGAGCAGCCTCCAGGTGATGGAGGGATAATTTCTGAAGGGTGAAGCCTTCTAGGCTTATCTGGGCTCTGTGCACAGTTTAGAACCCTGAAAAATCAGTTCTACATTACACAGATAGTGCCTATCATTATCACTATTATAATTGTCATTATTATTTAGATTTCTTATCCACCCTTCACCATGAGGTCACACAGGGTACAGGTTACAACAGGGATTCAAGCACATACCAGGAAATTCAGGTTCACACAATTCAAGTGGATTAAAGTGACCCAGCCCAACAGATCCACTTTACAAAAGAAACACAGTTAGGAAAGTGACAGGGAAAATCACGGAATGAATGAATGATTCATGGAAAGACGTATAAACATTCCAGAAAAAAAATCAGGGCACGTCCAGGATGCACACTCATTTTTTTATAACCTCCTCACAAGCACATAGGAACAAATATGCAATAAAGACTGGATATAATCCAACTTCCATGCAAACAAATTGGGATGAATTGTCAGTTAATAGGTTATCTGGAGGAGCCCCCCAATTTTTCCCTTTGATTGGGAACCTTAGTGAGCCAAAGTTCTGACTTGCGGAGTCAGCCTTCCTTGTGAGGAGAGGTTTTATTGGCAGGGAGAGGTGCCTAGAGCTAGTCAGCCCCTCCCCTCATTGGTGGAGAAGATGTGGGCTCCAGCCCAGGAGAAGGGAAAGTCAGTGTCCCAAACCCCGGTCTACCTGGAGGTGAGTCCTGCTAGTGTACACAGTCCTGCAGGCAACGCTAGAGAGTAGTCAGACAGTCCCAAAGGTCAAAACCGGTCCAGGTCCAAGCAAATTCCAAAATCAAACTGTAAGGCCAGGTTCCTGCCTATGCAAAAGATCAAAGGTCAGTGTACCTGGGGACAATCCCAATGTCACCACCCAGTGGAGTTCTTGAAGCAGCCAAGCTGTGGTCCATCAACGTGGAAAGTTGAGCAGACACAGAGTTTCTGTGTTGCTTCCCTGACTTATGCTCAGGTAAGGTTATAAGAGAATGGGAACTTGAACTCTTGCTTCTGAGTAGATTGGCCATATCCACTGAAGTCAATAGGATTAACTTCTGAGTTTAAATATATTGGATTGCACCGTGAGTGAACATTCACCCACCATCAATGTGTTGTTATACTTCAATAGGAGCTGGTCATGGCTTAGTGACAGAGGTCCCCATTTCAATCTTTGGCATCTCCAGGTAGGACTGTGAAAGACGTCCTTCTAAAACCCAGAGAGGTGCTCCTAGTCAGTGAAAACAATACTGAGCGGGATGGACCAGTGGTCTGACTCAGTATATAGAAGCTGGATATTTTGTAAGCTTTGGAAAGCAAGCCTGAAAAACAAATAAGCCTGCCATATCTATGTATGACAATGTGTGTGTGTGTCAACCAATTATGGAAAGGGAGCATATCACCTTTTGAAGTACAGTCTCTTTTTCTAAATAGTTGAAATACTGTGTTTTTGGTTTCAGTGTATCATCAAACACTCAGATTTCCCAGTAGCTGAAGAGAAGATATCTTACAATTTAGAGCATGATAAAGATTCTTCAGAACTTTCTTGGACAAGGACAAACAGCAACTTTCCTAAATTTATACTTCCTGTACCAGTGGCTTTCAAAGATGTTCTTGTTCACTTTAGTGTCTATGAATACTCAGCATAAAGGTAAAAGCTAAAGGTAAAGGACCCCTGGATTGTTAAGTCCAGTCAAATTTGACTATGGGGTGCGGTGCTCATCTCGCTTTCAGGCCGAGGGAGCCGCCGTTTGTCCACAGACAGCTTTCTGGGTCATGTGGCCAGCATGACTAAACCACTTCAGGCACATATGCATTAAGCATATATTGAGTAAACGGCGTTTAATAAATAAATAAGCAAAATCCTGGCACAAATAGCTTTCAGAAGTGTATTCTCTCTCTCTCTCTCCCCCTCCTTCTCTCTTTATCTACGCATGTATTTTTCTTTGAACTACAAGCAAACACTGAAGTGGAAAGCCACAAAAGCCACATCAACACTTTAATATGTGTAAATCAAAGGAAAAATAACTCTTCATCAGGGGATAACTTTTGGTAATTTCTAAAGGTATCTTACAGTTCATATACTTGCTATCAATGGGAAATCAATGAGACCAAAATCAATGTGACTTTAAAAGGCTTAGCAGTGCCTGGATCACACCCAAAGAGAAAACTGACATAAGCATTATTTTAAAAAAAAAAGCAAAGGCAAAACAAATTCAAGATGCATTTTCAAATTGTTTTCAGTTTTCTGAAGGTTTGTGTTTTTGCTTTTGGGGGAGAGTGTACCCCATTTTATGGTGTTACAGTCCTTCATATGTGGAATTCCCTTTTGTTGAATGGATGCCTAACAAGTTCACTAACAATGTATATTCTGCAAACCTCTACAGCACAAAGAGAATGGATGCACACAAATTGGATCCAGTAAAACTGACCCTCTTGAAATTGCATATCCCCCCCCCAGGCCTCTCTTTCTCCCTTTCTCTCTGGCTATGCACACATTGTGGTTAACTGCAGTTTGGCATTTTATCCCCAAAGTAGCTTCAATCTGTATTGAAAACCTAAGCCATGCTCAGTTTGCAACTGTGCCCATTGAAATTAGAGTGGGTGCAGCAGGGGCAGGGCAGCCAGCTAGATAATGCATAACAGGAGAAGACATCTCCACTAGCGGAAGGCCTGACCTAGAGAAGTGGATAGAGAAGCAACCAGAGGAAATAGTAACTAGAACAGAGGACATAGTGAGCATGGTACTCTTTCAAAATTCCCAATGTGACCATTGTCTCAGAAAGGTTGGTGACACATTAGAATGTATGGACATTCCCTAGGAAGAAGCTGACTTTTAGCTGTGGGAAAATCGGTTAAAAGCACACAATATGCAAAAGGAGCATTTTCATGTCTTCTGCAGAAGCTGCAAAGCAACAGGCAAGGAGCTTCAGCCATTCCTATTTCTTCCATTGAATGTTGTCAGTGGGAAGATTCTCCCTGGCCTTCTGCCCATCTTCAGCAGGAAGATCAGGAGGTCACACAGCAGGTGTGTTGGATGTAGTAACAACTTCAGCAGATCAAGGTGGCTTTAATTAAGACAGCAATTAAGTTTTATACTTACACAGTGCTTTACATGCTCATAGCACTTTACAGCCACTAGCTAATGAAGTTTCACAACACCCTCGTGAGGGGTTATCTTCATCTTATGCACAAGGAAAGTGGCTTATTAAGAGCTGAAGATCAAAGTGCCCAAGCACTTTACGATACTAAATAAGATGAGGCTAATTTTTAGAGTTGCTGGTCATCCAAATCCACCTCTGAAATTGATGTCATTCATGAGCACAGGAATGCAAATCCAAAAAACTGGCCTCAGGGATGAGCATAAAGTGACCAAGCTACCCATGGGGTGGGGTAAGCAAGGAGCATGCAGAAATTTTGGATATTGGTACTGGAACTGGTGGCAGAAAACTAACATAGGAATATGAAGATGAAAAGATGGCTGGCAGGACAACGCCTTTTGGCTCTGTGTTGGTCTTGGCCAACACAGCTGTTTTCCAAAAGAATGGTGTCACAAAGATCTGCCTGGCACAAGCCTGTCTCTTTAAAACATCCAGTTCCTTGAACTTCCATTTCTTCTAGGTTTCCAGATCACCTCTCCCTACTAACACCTTGAAATCCACAACTGGCGCCCTCCTTGTGCTCCTTGAATAGGTGGGGAAGCTATGTTTTATGTTTTTAGTGGCATGTTTTTTATGTGCAGAGTGGCAGGGGAAACCCAGCCAGATGGGCAGGGTATAAATAATAAAATTGTTGTTGTTGTTGTTGTTGTTGTTGTTGCTGTTGTGGCCTGAGGGTCACATTCGCACATGGGTAATTTTTTGAGGGTCACATGCCAGTAGTGGATGGGGCCAGAGACATAAAAATGGGCAGAGCAATGTGGGAAACTCTTACTTTTGCACCATAGGCTATATTCCAGCCAGACAAAAAGCAGAGGTTTCTAAAGAGACATCCCTCCATCCACTAGCCAGGCAGAAGTACTCAAGGAGCGGACAGAGCATGGCTGATGATGTGAAGTCTGGGTAGAGGGGGTTCAGCCTAGAAAGAATATATGGCCTAGGAAGAGTCTCAAGAGCTGACAGACAGCTTGAGGTTTCTCACACCTGCCTTAGGCTATCTCCTTGAGTATATATAGACAGTCCATTAAATCTTTAGAGACAGTGTGGTGTAGTGGAGTGTCAGACCTGAGACATGTTTGAATCCCGACTTGGCCATGAAGCTCACTGTTTGACCCTGGTCCAGTCACTGCCTCTCAGCCTAACCTACCCCACAGGGTGGTTGTGGGAATTAAAATAGGGGGAGAACCACGTATGCCACCATGAGCGGTTTGGAGAGAAAGGTGGTATAGAAACGAGATAAGTAAATAAATGTTCATTTAGTTCCTCATTAAAGCATCGTTTCACCCTTTCTCCAAATTGACTTTTGAGATTTTGGTGCATGTTTGTGACAGGCCCAAAGTAACTATTTGTCCCATTGTGTGTAAGGTTCTCAAGATCCGAAGAAAAGCAATCAGTTCCTTGGCCTGTGTTAAAACAGAATAACATGCAAATACTAAGGATTCAGGTGCCCTGGAAAACTGTGTTTCCCAGGGTCCCAGCAGTATCCCAATCACTGCTGTTGCAGTGTTCCTGTTGCTAATTTAGTAAGCATCCCCATCAGTACTAAGATGGAAAGCAGTTTTCCAAGGCAATGGGTTATGGCTGCCATTTTTCTATAGGCAAACGAGCATGTCAGAAAGGGTGGGATAGCCTCTGGGGAGTTGGTCCAATCAACTTTTAGGGACAGGCCCTATTTAAGCTGCTGATTTTACTCTCAGCCAGTGCTCTCAAGGCCCCTACAGTAAAAACGGCTTGAGGGGCATTACTCTGGAACTAGCCTTGATTTAGTATGCCCAGTGCCAGATTTAGGGAAGTGCAGGCAATTCCCTCACACAGGGTGCTAAGGTGTGGGGGAGCAAATTAACTACAACAAACAAACAAACAAACAACCCTATATTTATATGTGTACCTAAAAGTGAGGAGGGACGTCAAATTTTGTCCTCGCTCCAGGTGCCATATTGCCAAAGTTTGTCTCTGAGATTTTCCAGCTATGGTAAGAAAAGCAAGTCTTTCACTTCAAAGAGGGAGATGAGCCATTAAGAAAGGTCAATGTTTTGGCCAGGGATGCATTTGATATGTACTTTAAGCAAGTGATGTCGATATCAATTTGGAAATTAGTATAAGATACACATCTCTGCCAGTTTGCCACTCTTCATATAAAATTCTGCTTTGCTGGAGACAGGTTTCCAGAGCTTTTTCATCACAGAGCTCCCCACTTTTCTCAAATTCTTCCCTAGGCAATTATAGCCCGTGCTTTAAAAGCGCTTAATTTTGATTAGATCTCTGACTGACCTTGTGAATTTTGTTCAGAGGGACTAACACAACTTAGACAGGTGACTTTAATTTTTAGATCAACCTTATGTAACCCATGAAAAAAAAGGATTTGACAATTTTTGCATATTTTTATATAAGGTTGTTCATGCTTGGGCTTGTAAGTTATTTAGAAAAAGGAGGAAATCCTGAGAAGCTAGCAACAAAAGAAATTATATGAGAATGAAAGAGGGTACTTCAATGTGACCCAAGCCTTCAAGCCTAGACAATATTTTCTGTTTTCCTATACTAATAAATAAAAAAGTTCAGTGAGCTTGCCAACATGTCATCTTTGTCAGAATCCTTTTTGCTGTTGTTTCTTTATGTTTTGCCAGAGAACACAAGAATCAGCGTTATGAAAAATGTATGCTGTTGTCAAGTACGTACAAGTAATTTCTGTGAAGTGTTAACTAAGAAGGACTTAGCTGCCAAATTTTTAAGTATATATTTGTTTTTAAGCACTTTTATATATTCATTCTTCTATGTAGGAATTATCAAAATATGATAATACAGCTCTTCAAATTCTCACTTCAAATATAATAGTCTAACCTGAGACGACCAATCCTGCAAACTAAGTAATTTTTCTTATATCCATCGAATTTCAGCAACCGCTTGAAATCCTGAATCTCTTTTAGGTGCTGTTGATATAAAGAAGCTAGTTTTTCATCTTCCCTCCAAGGAAAAAGAACACTCAGGCCAAACATTAATTAATCTACAGCTGCCAAAAGTTTTAAAAAAGCTTTGTAATAGGCAATCCAGAATGTTTGAAAGTTTTTGAAGCAACCGGATGACTAGATATGAGATGGATATGAGATAGGGAGATCTCTTAGCTGCAATCCAGAGATTGTCAAACACAGGGCGATGTAGATGACATGTAGATACATGGGTAATAATGGGAACAGAAGGAATGGGATTGTCAATTTCAGTTCATATTACAAGAAAGATGAAGAGGAAAATACCTTAGGATAACATGGATTACTTGGTACTATGCATAGCTGTGTATCCTACCTGTGTCTGCCAGGTGTTTGGCTCTGCTGATGGGATTCCCAGGCCAGTTTTGGAACTGTTATACAGGAGCAGTTACTGGATACAGTGGTACCTCGGGTTACAGATGCTTCAGGTTACAGACACTTCAGGATACAGACTCCGCTAACCCAGAAATAGTACCTTGGGTTAAGAACTTTGCTTCAGGATGAGAACAGAAATCGTGTGGTGGCGGCGTGGCGGCAGCGGGAGGCCACATTAGCTAAAGTGGTGTCTCAGGTTAAGAACAGTTTCAGGTTAAGAACGGACCTCCAGAATGAATTAAGTTCTTAACCTGAGGCACCACTGTATGAGCATCTAGCTAGGTGACCAAGGCAAAAGAAGAAAAAGAATCACCACCATAATCTAGGGATATACACACATTCCTAAAAGCAAGGAGTTTGTGATAGGGCCTTTGACAATGACATCAGATATTGTAACATTCACTACCATTGAGGAAGGCATAGTTCCATACTTCATTTGTTTTTATGGTGAATTCAGGCATCTACTGCAGTGATGAACACGTGATACAATAAAAAAAAAATTCAGCTTTCATCCACATTGAGTTGTAATAATTAAAATGCTCTGTCTATACATGGCGGATAGAGATTATCAAGTAGGGCTGTCACATTCCCTTCAATAATCGCATGGGGAATATTGCCATGTACAACTGCCTTTGAAAGACACTTTGCAAGTGAAATGTAACTTCATATGGATTATTATTATTTTCAATTTTGCATGTTAGTTCCTATCCCAGCTAATCTATAACAGGCTGATTGGTTTCCTATTGCACTTTGTGCTGAACTATTTCACAACAGAGTTCCCTATTCAAAGTATTAACTAAGATATTGCTATTGACAATTGTGCTGGACTCTTACTTTCCACCTGGGGACACAGTTTCATTCATGTGCATGTTGGCCATAGGTGCATATTGACCTTTGTCAAGATTAAAGAAAATGTGTGTACATCTTCCCAAGCATTTGGTCCAGTTTTGCTGCTATTAACATAAATTGTATTTCACAAGTAAACAATGGATTTAGAATATTGCTGCCTTCCCAGACTCAGTGAATGTGCCTCAGACTTAGCAAGACATCCCCCCCCTTTAAATTTATTCTCTATTACTGTATATTGTATACTAGCTGGTGGTAAATTGTAAATATGGCTACAACCTGCGGAGATCTTTTTAAAAAGTGTTTAAAAAGCAATTTAAGATTCCAGTCAATGGATTATTAATTTACTTCAGAATTTGTGGCTTATAATGTTCTTCTCAGTAACTCTGTGTGTGCGCTTTCGTTTATAGTCATACTGAGGAAAGTGGACTATTTTCCCCTTTAAAAACAACAACAACATAGCCTGCTACACATCTCTTGCACCCCAATTTATAAAAAAACCACTTTGTTGTCTGCAAATGGGCAGCAATTTGTCATTCCTTTCTGTTTCTTAATGTGTCTGCCAGATGCTGTGAAAATGTAGTGTATAATAATATCCAGAGGAAATTAGGGAAACAGAGCAAATGCGTGGATGCTGATTTCTCGAAACTTCACTCATTAACTCACAAGAGCATAAACATGTAATATCTATGATCTTATCTGCCAAGCACCATCCTTGCAAGAGAGTAGGTTTCTGCATATGCACTGCCCCATGTACGAAGGTGAATGCTGTGGTAAAAAAGCCTACATCCACCACCCAGAGCTAGGTTCAGGGTGGAAACGGAAGTTTATTGCAAAGAAGGAGAAGTACTGACTAGAGAAGAGTGGCCAACTAAGCTGATGGAATACACAGAAATGGCGAGACTGACGGGAAAGATCAGAAACCAGGAGGACTGTTATGTACTGAAGTTCTCACCCTGGGCCAGCAGGGGGATACTGTAGATAGTTTTCACTCAGGTCCACATATGCAAATAACGGATTGAAAGTGACATTCAGTGATTGGATAGTTACAGAAAGTGGTTACTGTTGCATTGTAGTGGAGCTCTATATAAGCAGGCTGTCTGAACCCTTCAGTTCAGTTCTGTTCTGGCCTGTGAATAAACAAGAGCTGTTTGAAGACTCACTGTGTCATCTGATATGTTCACCCACAACTTAACAAAGACCAAGTATTTTTAAAAGACTGGAATAATTTATTTATTTTTAAATAATTTGTATTGGTTTTTACAAATATGTTCTTACATGACATAATACTTTGCACAAATAAAACATTTGGCTCGATGAGCCTGTAACTTCCCTCCTCCTTGACTGATGGTTTTCAAGTCTAATCTCAATATATTGCATTTTCCTGTATTTCTTATTCCTATTAAATTATATCCTTATAAAGTTACTTAACTAACTACAATTAGTAATAAATGATAATTGTATCCTTACAAAACTTCTTATAACCTTACTAGCAATGTTCATTGTTTACATTTCTCTTTCAAATATAACATAAATTTCTTCCAGCCTTTCTGAAAAGCCTGGTCCTGCTGGTTCCAGATTTCCCCCGTCAGTTTTGCAATTCAGCAAAGTCCAATGATTTCATCTGCCACTCTTCTTTCGTCGGTAAATCTTTCTGCTTCCATCTTTGGGCTAGTAGTATTCTTGCTGCAGTTATTGCATATAAAAACAATGTTTTATCCTGCTTATGTATTTCTCTGCCTACTATGCCTAATAGGAAAGCTTCTGGTTTTTAAATAAACATATATTCCAACATTTTAAAAAGTTCATTATATATTATTTCCCAGAAAGCTTTCACCTCCTTACAAACCCACCACATGATAAAAAACACCTTCTTTTTCTTTATATTTCCAACATAAATTATTTGTTCTACACATTTTCGCTAATTTCACTGGTGTTAGGTACCATCTGTACATCATTTTCATTACATTTTCTTTAAGCAAACTGCAAGCAGTACAAAATATTCCATCTTTCCACAATCTTTCCCAATCTTCTAAAAATATCTTATAACCAATATATTTTGCCCAATGGATCATTGCTAATTTTACTTCTTCATCTTTCGTATGCCATACTGGAATAATTTTTTAATTTGTCTGAAAGACCACTGTAGACAATTGAAATCATTGGCAGAAATAAAATGACACTTGTAGAGTAAAATGAACTTTGGTTACTATGATTATATAATAGATGGATTATGGTAAAAGATGCAGAAAAAAGAAAAAAAATGTAAGAAATGGAATCCATGGAGGGATGGAAGGAGGTCTGAAGGTTCGAAAGAACCCTTTTTTATTTTCTGGAATGGTTATGTTTATTATGTATAACTTTATGTAAAACCTACACACACAAAATGAAATATTACAGCAGACGTTTCAGTGAGTGCTTCATCCTGCCCACCTTTCCCAAGAGCACAAGCCTGGTTGTACAATTAAATTCCAAGAATCACAAAGTTGAGAACGGAAACTTTATGGGATGCTTCCTCTTCTCAAATGAATACAGTTCTCCAGCATTTTTCCTGCCTCAGTCAAAGTTGAGAGCTGTGGGTTGTATTCAACAAGATCCCTGCATGAACACAGTGAAGCTTCCCCTCACTGTTCTACTTCTGTATGTCCCTGAACCCTTAAAATCTGCTCTGGCAGGTTGGGGTAAAAAGCAGAGCACAATTGGTGTGTGGGGGGGAGTGAGGGGAAGTCCTCTTGAATGAACAGGAGCCATTCCACTCACTCAATGACCTTGTTGTGTACAACCCTGTGAGTTGAGCCAAAGATCAGTGAGTCCACTATCCTGTTTTCTGTTGGGAAGATGAGGCAGGTACAGAAAAGTTCCTGGCTAGAACCAACCAATCAATTCATCGCACAGCCAGTTCTTCCACTATCAATTTCTTCAGACACTGGAGAGTTAAATGCAATGTGAGCCCAGGCTGCTTAGTCTGAGCCACAAGCTCAGACAACATTTTAAGCTAGACTTAAGTATGTATTTGTGACTCAGTTACCATTTTAAGCCTCCCTGAAAAAAACTGCTGTTATCTGTTACTCTTTAACAGGTATTCGGAATGAGTAAATGTTATTTTTACCTTTTACAAGGCGGTTGGTGTGCTTGTTCTTTTGAGTGGGAGAAAAGGGGGAAACACCAGGAGACCAAGAGTCTGTTTTAACACATCCCGAATTATTTAAACTCAGAGGCTAAAACTATCTAAGCTTTCCTTTAAGCTGTAAAGGGATAGCACTCACAAATGCAAGGAAGAAAGGATAATATCTAATAAATATATTAGATATGATATTAATAAATATATCAGATATGATATTAATAAATATATTAGATATTCTCTCCCATCATCTATTTACGTCTAAATATATGTGACTCACAGCTAGGTGCACCCCACATTCTTGCTTACCATCTGGTCATTTTCAAGTTCCAGTTTTAATTCAGTGAAACATGGACTGCATGTCCAAGGTAATGCCCATGCTATTGTTTATGCCAACAATTAGGAGATGATATGCAGGTCACGTTAAAAACATCTAATGAACTATTGAGTTGTATTTGTTTTTATTTTATGTATTTTGTGTTTTTATATTGTGATTTTATCCTGTGAACCACCCTGAGACCTGCAGGTATGGAGCAGAATACAAATTTTAATAATAATCATAATAATCATAATACAAACACACCTTTATTTTTATTTTTATTACCTTACTTCAACTTCTGAGAGCAAACTGATGTGAGTTAACATAGTGGTTGAAAGAAGAGAACTTAAGGGTTCTCTTATCAGGATATCCAATCATTTAATTTCTAAATAAAATCCTTTTTAGCTGTGTGTTCTGCTTGTTTTCTCAGAGAACTGAAACGCTTCCAATTGCTTCAGATTCAACTTGTGAGAGATGAGCGGAGCTAACATGCATGCTTTGTCTTCATTATTGGCTTTCTCTAAGTCTGGCCATCAATTTTGTTTGCTTTTACTGCAGGCTTTGTTGGCACAGACAGAACAGGCATCTTCTGTGTCAGCATAGATGATTCCCTACCCACCATACCAACACAGTTCCAGGAAGAAAAAGAGGAACGGCATTCCAAAGATGGAATTGTGCTTTAAAGAGCTATTTAGGAGGCTGGAAAAGGCAGCCAAGTGTTAAACAGCAAATTCAAGTTTGAAAGTGTTTTAAATGATGGATGTGAAGTATCATAATTCAGCAGCATGGAATGGGACCTCTTACTGGGAGAGGCTAAAGAAGAAAACTGAACCAGTACAAAGGGAACCCCCTCCAGGGAAGAACTCAGACATTTGGTCCTGGATTCCAGTTAGGGTAGGCCAAAACCTGATACTTTTATCTCCAACCTTTGACCTTAACATCTGGAAACTTAGTTTGCGTCAAACAGAAGGAAGTTTTCTTTTCTGTTTCAAATGCTTTATTGGAGAACTCCAAGTTATCTACAGTTAACTGAGTTGGCTCAAGCTAGGTGCGTGTGAGAGAGAGAAAGAAAGAAAGAAAGAAAGAAAGAAAGAAAGAAAGAGCGCGCACTTGCAGTGAACTCTGAAATTCAGAATATTTGCACAAGACATTGCAACTTTCGTACAGGGTGGTGGCATGATAGTTTGCATGCACAGACAATATGATTGTTTGCATGTATAGGTGCCAGAAAACAGTTCTGATAAGCATCCCCAGTGGGGTTCTAAACAGCATAGAACTTCCAGCTCCTTTGAAGTCCTTAGATGTTCTTATATCAGAGGGACTGGACCTAGTGCCAGAAATAGCAACATATTTAAACATCTTGCATGCAGACACAAATTAAATTCATTCAGCTTAACTTGCATTTACAACATCCATTGAAACATTAAGTGTGATATAAGTCATGCTCTTCGCAGCAGTTACTTTCATTGTTATGTTTATTACTAATTTAAGAGACTCTTCTTTGAGTAAGGGAGGGGGGATTACTGAATTTAGACTGCACATTATAACATCAAAAGCTCTGGTTTTAAATAAGCCTGTTTGCGCTACAGAAGATTTTCTCCCCTTATAGGACACTAAATGGCATGTCAGACAAGTGTCTCATTCTAGCCTAACATTTCCTTGTATATATGATGAACCGTCAACATCATACAGTACGTACAAAGATTTGGGATTCATTCAATCACTGATACACACATGGAGTATCAAAAATGGTTAGGGTACTTCCACCAGAGACAGAAAACTGATATTTGGTATACATATGTGCCCAAGGCACATGTCTGAAAATAAGACATAGCTGAAATCCTTGATGTAACATGTACCTTTCGATGGAAGAAAGCAGTGCCTCAATACACAATAAATATGTGAACATGTGCTGGAATTTTGAAATATAGGAATTTCTTGTTCACACACTCATTGAGCCTTGGATTGCGGAAGTGAGGATTTGCAGCCAGAGCTACAAAGTAAATCTGAAAAGAGGACGAGCCATGCTGGCTGAGGTAAAATGGGTGGGTGTTTGAGCATCCTCAAATTGGAGGAGCTAATTAACAGTGGCATCCATGAATGTATCTGTGGTTGCAGAGTGCAAGCTATATGGTCTAAACCACGGAGCCTCTTGGGTTTGTTGATCAGGAGGTCGGCGGTTCGAATCCCTGTGACGGGGTGAGCTCCCGTTGCTCTGTCCCAGCTCCTGTCAACCTAGCAGTTCGAAAGCACACCGGTGCAAATGGATAAATAGGTACCGCTGTGGCAGGAAGGTAAACAGTGTTTCCGTCATGGCCTTCCGTCATGGTGTTCTGTTGTGACAGAAGTGATTTAGTCATGCTGGCCACATGACCCGGAAAGCCGTTTGTGGACAAACGCCACCTCCCTTGGTCTAAAAGCGAGATCAGCGCCGCAACCCCATAGTCACATTTGACTGGACTTAACCGTCCAGGGGTCCTTTACCTATCCCTATATTCTTCAGTATTTTTATATATTCATTAGAGGTGCAAGTTTAGGGTAAAATCCTGTGATCCCTGGAAGGGTGCTTTATCCTAGGTCCCTGACATGCCCCTCCCCCAACCAGGGACTGCATTTACAGCCCCCGAAGCATGTAGGAATTCAGAATACATTCATTTCTACTTTGCCAACTCATGCCTTGCAGGACATTGGATCAAGCAGTAGAACATACACACTTTAGGATTGCAGCCTTAGCTGATGAAGATTGTGATCCTATACATATTGTTATGAATTGGGGGGAAGACCCTGCCCCATAACCCTTACATTCAGTAAAGGGTTAGAAATTGAGCCAACCAATAACGCCATGAATATAGCAAAGGCTGGAGATAATTCTAGCTAGCTTCCTCAGAAGGCTAGCCTAGCAACTGCTAGGAAGGAGGAGGAGGAAGTAGGCAGAAGTCCATGAGGGGAGTGAAGGGCTGGCTGGAGCAGGCTATGACAGAGAGACTCAGGGCTTGTGCTTAGGATGCCTTCAGATCCAGTTCTGCACTCTCTTGGGATATGAATGCTGTGAGCTGTCTCCATCAAAACCCAGGTTGTAAATATGGGTAAAATAAACCATATTTCATCAAGCCTCTGTTGTGTCTCACTTTCCCCAAGGAAACGCAAACCCTGGTTTAGTGCCAAGACCCCTGGAATCTTGCTATTGCTCGGCAGAGATTAAGGTGGCTTGTAGCAATATTTACCTGGGAATTAAGTCCAACTGAACTCAGTGGACTTTTTTTCCTGAGTAAACGTGCATAGGATAGCACAGCAGATCAATTAGATTAATTGATTTAAATTTGATTTGGATAATAAGACATGTAAAAAACAAACATAGATTTTAATGCAATTGTGTGTGTGTGCATGTAAAACCAGTAGATGACAGGACCAGTCTTAGAAAAGGCATTTAATCCTATATGTGAGAGAACAGGGAAGGCCTCTTCTAAGATGCATCTGTCATAACATCATCTCAAAGCAAAGAGTTGAATCCAGATTTAGTTGTACTTCTCGTTAAACTTAATGGGGCTTAGGCTAAGTGACGAGGAACTTGTGCCATTGATTTCAAGGAACCTAAGTTCAATTTATTTATTTATTTTTAAAAGTATATATATACCTACCATGCATAAAATATCAGGATGGTTACATGATTATGTATACAATAAAAAAAATACCACTAAAAACAGTGCCAATATTAATGTATGAGTCCTTTATGTTGGATCCTGTATAAGCTACTCATTCAAATAAATGGGATTTAAACTAGTAATGATTAATGTGACTCATATGGAT